ACAGAGCCCAATATCAACAGTACTTCTTCAAAATAGACTTGCCCAGACCGAAAACTGACTTCTGTGCAGGGGCCACGAAGTTTCAATCGTACTTTACATGTGCGCCCACACGTGGTATTTTGTGGAAGAGCCACACTCAAGGGACCACAGAGCCACATGTGGCTCGCAAGCCCATTTTTCTAACCTGGGATTATGGGATTATCCTTCCTCTACCTTTGAGTTCTTGCCGTTGAGCATCAACCTTAAGGTGAACACCCTAGAGGGGTTAGCATGATCCACAAAACCATTAGGGTATATTCTCTGCCAATGTACAGCAGAATGTTCTCGTAACTGCAAACACAGCACCATTTCCTGGAGAATCCATGCTACCTCTGGGACTGGCTTTGTGTGTGTGTAGGGGGGGGGGTAGCTTTATTTTTATTTTTTTGTTTCCTAGCTTTATTTTTAATAAAATCAAAATGGAAAATTATTCCCCAAATGCAAAAACAGAGACTCAAACATTACCAAAACTTCAGGTGTGTGAGTGTGATGGCCAGAGGCAGGACTTTCCAAAGGTGAACTGGGTTGTGGGCCCAAAGCATCATGTGGCTTCTCCCGAATACAGAAATAGGTGCAGTTGCAGTGAGCCAGGTGCCTGGCAGGTGGGAAAAAGCGGGCTGGAGACACCTCTGGATGGAGACAGAAGAGCCCTGGCCAGCTCCTCTCAGGCAGACACATAACCTATGTCCCTCCCAGGCCTTGCCTGGGGTTCCTTTCTACCAACTCCTGGGAAAAACAGAACTTGTCCAAGCTGCAGTGGGACCATCCCAGGAAAAGGCAAGAGAGCACAAGGAGGGGTGAGGTGTGCAGGCAGAGGTCCCTTGTCAGGGTCGTGGTGGTGGATGGTTCTATTTTTGTTTTTCATAATCCTCAAAGGAGGATATTTTTCCATTGATTTTTATTCAGAGTGGAAGAGTGGGGATGGGGCGAGAGAGAGAGAGAGAGAGAGAGAGAGAGAGAGAGAGAGAGAGAAGCGAGAAAGACAAGGAAGTTCCCGCCGCGGGGGTCATCTCAGTATTCAGGTATTCAGCTGAGGAAGTTCCCACCGTGGGGTTCAGCACAGTATTCAGGAAGGAGTCAGTATTTGTGTGGGGTTCGTTGTGGATTCCAGGGATGAGCTGGTATCTATGTTTTATTTTTATTTTTTTGTTTCCTAGCTTTATTTTTAATAAAATCAAAATGGAAAATTATTCCCCAAATGCAAAAACAGAGACTCAAACATTACCAAAACTTCAGGTGTGTGAGTGTGATGGCCAGAGGCAGGACTTTCCAAAGGTGAACTGGGTCGTGGGCCCAAAGCATCATGTGGCTTCTCCCGAATACAGAAATAGGTGCAGTTGCAGTGAGCCAGTTGCCTGGTGGGTGGGAAAAAGCGGGCTGGAGACACCTCTGGATGGAGACAGAAGAGCCCTGGCCAGCTCCTCTCAGGCAGACACAGAACCTATGTCCCTCCCAGGCCTTGCCTGGGGTTCCTTTCTACCAACTCCTGGGAAAAACAGAACTTGTCCAAGCTGCAGTGGGACCATCCCAGGAAAAGGCAAGAAAGCACAAGGAGGGGTGGGCTGTGCAGGCAGAGGTCCCTTGTCAGGGTAGTGGTGGTGGATGGTTCTATTTTTGTTTTTCATAATCCTCCAAGGAGGATATTTTTCCATTGATTTTTATTCAGAGTAGAAGTGTGGAAATGGAGAAAGAGGGGGACTTGGAAGTAAGAGACACACATCAATTGGATTTTGTAAGGTGGCTCAGGAGGTGGCACAGAAAACAAAGAGAATCAAGCTGGTCAGAGAGGAGAAAAGGAAAAAGTTTAATCCGTGTCCCAGGGCAAGACTCCCCAGCCCAAAGGTGGGGCCAGTGAATTCGCTCCAACAGGAAGGAGGGGCTCCTTTTTATACAGGTGTTTAATGAGGGCCATCTGTTCCAGGGAGGGTCCATTATCTCATCACACATCTGCATGCATCCCATCCTGGGCTCCCTCCAACCTAACAGATTTCATTTGCATGAGCCCCCAATAGTTTCCAGGGGTTAAATCTTGAACCCAGGTACTTGCCCTTGACCAAGAAGTTAACTCACCATCCTTCATGTGTGTAGGCTGACACTCTTACCCTTAAATCACACGGGCAGGCCATGGTGGATGTTTACCCAAGAAGGAAAGAAGAGGACCATTTTGTTCCCTTAGATTGATAAATATCTACAACTTTTAGTGGCTAAACTTCAAGACACTTGCATCCCAGGAGAGGACCCTGAGTCTCAGCAGCCTGCTGCACATCATGCTGGGCAGATAGTTCATCAGCCTCTACAGAAACAGCTCCTCTCCCTCCCTGGGCCTTCATTACAGTGAACTAGGTTGGCCCTTCCTGGGTCACAAGTTATCTTGAAGGACATGCTGACTCCTAGGTCATGACTACCCTTATAACTTATGTTCCATTCCCCACTAACCATGGCCCCAAAAGACCAGAGCAGCCACCAGCCTGAACTGGGACTAGAGGGGTCCTCAGTACCACACACATGGCCCAGCACCAACTCTCCCTGCAACTGCCCTGGGCTTTTTCCTGCCCACACCCACATGCCCAGCTGTCACTGCTGCTCCCAGCCTTGACACCTGAGAGGAATATGAGCTCCTCAACCACCTGAATTCTGAAACAGCCCAGTCTCAACCCCTGTCTGGAAGGTAAAGAAATCACAAGGGGCATGTCAAGACCCAGATCTACTCCCAGCCTCTTAGTCTCAGGGAGCACAGATGTCATCATCCCCTGTGGGTGATTGTGCAGATCAGATTGGGTTCCCCACCTTCCACACTGACAGCAGGGGCACCTCCCATGCTGTTGTCTGGATTGGTGCACACTTGACCCTCATGAGGGCCTTGGATGCTGGTCACCATGGGGTCCCTGAGCTGTGTCTGTGTTCACATGTGTGTGGACTGATTGGGTGAGTAAAACACGTATATTGATTTTAGAGAGAAATAAGGAGAGACAGACACACACATTAATTTTTTGTTCCTATAATTTTATACAGTGGATTAGATTGGGCCTTCCTGGGTCAGATATGTTCTTGCATGTGCTCTGACTTGAGATGGAACCTGCAATCTTGGCGTTATTGAGATGATGCTCTGACCAACTGAGCCATCTGGGCATGGCCAGACATATCCAGGATTTTAGGTTAGGTAACCCACTAATGTACCTGCAGATAAATAGATACAAGAACAACCATCATGGTAGATAATAATAGAAGGCTGGAATAGGATTCATGGGTTTCATAAGTATTTTATTCATATGAATATATTTCAAATACGCTATTTTAAAGGCAGAATGTGTCCATGCATCAGTTATTTTATATGCCAAGAAACAAGCACTGAGGATAGCAGGAGGAACTTGGTTTCAGGAATGCAGGCACGTATGGAAACATCAAAAGGGCATTTTAAAAAGTGTGCATTTTAGCCCTCCCTGGTTTGGCTCAGTGGATAGAGTGTCAGCCCTAGGACTGAAGGGTTGCGGGTTGACTCTGGTCAAGTGTATGTACCTCCATTACAGAGTTCCTCACAGGCACTGGTTAGGGTGCGCACAGGAGGCAACCAAGTGATGTGTCCTGCTCACACTGATGTTTTACTCTCTCTGTTTCTACTCCTCCCTTCCACGCTTGTTAAATAAAATAAAATAAAAATAAATAAAAATAAATCAATGGAAAAATATCCTCCTGTGAAGATTGTCATCAAAAGCTGCATTTAGGGAGAAACCAAGATGGCGGTGTAGGGAGTGGACCTGAGCGTGCTGCTCTCTCACAGCATCATTGAAACTACCAACTATGAGGCAAACAACTACCACTCAGAACCATGGGGAAGTTGGCCCATTAGGAGATCTACAACTGGAAGTAAAGAAAGAAGCGCAGTGAGACTGAGTGGGAGCTACGGAGGCGCCAAAAACAGAGGTATGCAGTCACACGCCAGGCGGGCTGCAGCTGCATTCGCGGTTTTTTTTTCAATTAGAAGCGGTTACGAACCCTTGAATCCTCTGGGCTTGCTCGGGGCAGATCTCTAAGGCCCCAGATCCCACGGGGAGAGACGGCCACGGCCTTGCAGCGGTCGGAGAGCGAGGGAAGCTCTGCCGTGCGGCTGCTCGCCAGCACTGAGGAACGCGAAGTCCTGGTGTCCCGGGGAGGTAAGGGGCGCGGAGATGCCGCCAATGCTATCTGCTCCGAGCTGGTGACTCCTTGAGACCCCGCCCTACTCCATTTACATCCCCATCCAAGCTGTGTCAAAGGCACAAGAGGAAATGTCTGTGCTTTTACAAACTCTCAAATCCACTGAGCTGGTTCAGGCAGGTCTCTGAGGCCCCAGGCCCCACGAGGAGAGACAGCACGGCCTTCCAGCGGTCAGAAAGTGAGGGAGACTCCGTCGCACAGCTGCTCGCCGGCACTGGGGGACACGAAGCCCCCGTGTCCTGGAGAGGCGAGGGGCCAAAAATCGGCCTGCGGACTGAAGGGTCCCGGGTTCGATTCCGGTCAAGGGCGTGTGCCTGGGTTGCGGGCACATCCCCGGTGGGGGATGTGCAGGAGGCAGCTGATCGATGTTTCTCTCTCATTGATGTTTCTGACTCTCTATCTCTCTCCCTTCCTCTCTGTAAAAAATCAATAAAAATATATTTTTAAAAAAAGAAGCAGACCCAGGAGAACCAAGATGGCCATGTAAGGAAGAGACCTGTGCATGCTGCCTCACACAACATCATCGAAACTACCAACTATAGGACAAACAGCTATCAAACGGAACCATGGGAAAGTTGGCCCAGTGGAAGCTCTACAACTGGAATGAAAGAACATTGAGACTGAGTAGGATGTGCAGAGACACCAAGTACAGAGCCCAACCCAACAAACTGCAGATTTCAACTCCTCTCATAAAAAGAAGAGCATTGAGACTAAGTAGGATGTGCAGAGGCACCAAGTACAGAGCCCAACCCAGCAGGCTGCAGATTTCAGCTCCTCGCATCCGGGAGGGACGCAATCAGGGGGCGGAGTTGGGTTCGGGGCAGCCCGGGGCTGGGCCCGGCTGGGTCGGCATGGTGGAACTGCTGTACCAGCAGGCGCACAAACAGGCCCACTGGTTCCAGTCTCGCGTGGGGTGCTGGGGAATGGCAGACGGGCAGTCTGTGCACTTGGTGGAGGGCGTGGTCCGAGCAGGAGTGCTGGATATTCAGCCACCAGGAACGTCTGGAGATTTTGTCTGGCGGGGAGCTGCTTGGCAGGGACAGAGGGTCAAACTTCGTGTTTCCCCGGTGAGGCTGAGACAGCCCGGTGAGGTCGGGATGGCCCCGGTGAGGATGATACAGCCCCGGTGAGGTTGAAACGGCCCCAGTGAGGTCAAGACTGCCCCGGTGAGGTTGGGATGGCCCCGGTGAGGTTGGGACAGCCCCGGTGAGGTCGGGACGGCCCCGGCGAGGTTGGGACGGCCCCGGTCAGGTTGAAGCGGCCCGGGTGAGGTCGAGACAGCCCTGGTCAGGTTGAAACGGCCCCGGTGGGGTAGGGACGGCCCTGGTGAGGTTGAAACTGCCCTGGTGAGGTCGGGATGGCCCCAGTGAGGTTGAAACGGCCCCAGTGAGGTCAGGACGGCCCCGGTTAGGTTGAAATGGCCCCGGTGAGATTGAAACAGCCCCGGTGAGGTTGAAGTGGCCCCGGGGAGGTTGAGACGGCCCCAGTGAGATTGAATCAACCCCGGTGAGGTTGGGATGGCCCCGGTGAGGTTGAAACGGCCCCGGTGAGGCTGAGATGGCCCTGGTGAGGTTGGGACTGCTCCAGTGAGGTTGGGACAGATAATGGGGACCAGTATAGACTGATGAACAGGGGTAGGTGCAGAGGCAGAGCAACATTGAACAGACTGTCAAACTACAGTGGGAAGCCTGGGGAGGGTTTGGGGGGAGAATTAAGAGATCAACCGAAGGACTTATATTCACACATATAAGATTAACCAATGGACACAAGACCCAGGGGTGGGAGGGAGATAGGGGCTGGGGGAATGTCAAGAGGAGGGAAAAAGGAGAAATATGTAATACTCTTTGTAATACTTTAAGAAATAAAAATTATTAAAAAAAATTTAAAAAGCTACATTTATACTCAATTATATTTAAACTTTAAAAAATGCTTAAAATTGCTACTTCCTATTATTTTACTGTTTTATTACGAATGTTCATGAGCAAATTTATGAGTATGTTAAAAAATTAAATATAATGATGTGTTATTGAAATATCGCGCCCATGTTCAGTGCCATCATTTTGGCAGTTTGAACCTGGTAATGAGAGTATTTACACCAGGGGAACTTAAAAAATACTACAAACCTATACTTCCATTAATGTATTATTGAATTCTTAGACCTAAAAATAGTTGTGTAGAATGTAAACAATGCAGATTAACCATAACAGTATAAGGTATGAGTTGACTTATATTGAACATAGGATAAAAATTGAGAAAAACAATTTTGATTCCAGTATTCAAAACCTATGGTTCTATAGGACAAAGAAGTCACTTGAGTCATTGAGGAGTGAGTGAAATTCAAACATATGTTTTACAAGCTGCACAGTCCTCCTTCTGGTTAAAATAATAAATTGATTTAAATAATTTGAAAAAGATTCTGAGCTGACATTTTAACAAAGGAGATAAAGACAAGTTAAATAAATGCATGAAAAAACACTCACTATAAAAATTTCTTAGGTAGGTAGAATTAAAAGGAGTTTACCCTATATTCATTTCCAGGGCTGCTTTTTAAAAAGGTTAAGCAGTGCATGTGCTGGAAGGGTTATAGAAAAACTGGAATTTTTATATGCTGTGGGTTACTGGAAAGGCAAAATCAATTACCAATTTGGGTCAGAGTTCCACTATTTTAAATGTAAAAAGTCTAACGTGCAACAGTTTGAGAAGTAAAACATGTCTATATAGAGAATTGAACACAAATATTCCTAGCAGATCTACACTAATAATAGACAAATATGTAAATTGACTGTACCTCCACAAAGCCCCACAGCAAATCAGGAGAGAATATGCAAATTAGCAGGACAAAGATGGCAAAGGCTATGGAGCCAGCCGGAGTGGGCGGGAGGCTTGGGTTGCTGGGGGCGACCCAAGCTTTCCACCCGCCCTGGCCAGCTGCTGAAGGAGGGTCCTGTGGGCGGCAGCCACGAGCCAGCCTGAGTGCACAGGAGGCTTGGGTCACCTGGGCAGGCTGCCAAGGGAGGGGCCTGCAAATGGCCCTCATCCCCTTACCCAGGCTGACCATGCCACCATGGGGGTGAATGTCCCCTCTAGAGGGCGTGGCCAGCCTGAAAATGGCTCTTAGCCCCTTACCAAGGCTCGCCACGCCCCCATGGTGTGAGGGTCCCTGCTGGGAGCATGGCCAGCCTGCAAACAGCCATCATCCCTCACCGAAGCTGGCCAGACACCCCAGCGGGGACCCCCACCTGAAGGGGGTGTGGCCGGCCTGAAAACAGCCCTCAGCCCCTTTCACCTAGGTTGGCCATGCCCCCCAATGGGGACTTTCATCCCATGGAGGTGTGGCTGGCCTGTAAACTGCTCAGCCCCTTGCCCAGGCAAGCACCATCCCCAGTGGGGACTCCCACCCCAATGGGGGCGTGACCAGCCTGCAAATCACCACAGGCTCATCTCCCAGGCCACCTTGCCCTCCAAGGGAACCCCAACCCTGATCCAGGACACCCTTAAGGACAAACCAGCCGACCCCCACCCATGTACCAGGCCTCTATCTATACTAATAAAAGGGTAATATGCTAATTAGACTGGGAGACCTTCCAGGAGACCTTCCAGACATGCTTCTGGACAAAGCGATGGTGGTGGGGCCGAGGTAGAGGCGGTTAGAGGCCACGAGGGGAGGGCAGTTGAGGGGGATCAGGCTGGTGGGGGGGGGTTTAGGGGTGATAAGGCCAGTGGAGAGGGGAAGTTGTGGGTGAGCAGGCTGGCAGGGGGTCAGTTGGGGGCAAGCATGCCAGCAGGAAGAGTGGTTAGGGACAATCAGGCAGGCAGACAGGTGAGCGGTTATGAGCCAGCAGTCCCGGATTGGGAGCGAGATGTCCCACTGCTGGTTTAGGCCTAAACCAGCAGTGGGACATCCCCCGAGGAGTGCCAGATTGGAGAGGGTGCAGGCCGGGCTGAGGGACACCCCCCTGTGCACTAATTTCATGCACTGGGCCACTAGTTATTTATAATACCCCAAACTTGAAAACAATCCAAATCATAGACAGATCAATAGATAAACTAGCCATAAAATATACACAGCAATAAAAATCATTAAGGATTCAAATAGTCAACACTATTGAATCTCAAAATAACTGTAGCATGGAGGAAACCAGTACTTGTTAAAGAGTAAACATCAAATAGTGACTATAAAATTATGAACAACAGGGAGAAAACAAGATGGCGGCATAGGTAAATACTGGAATTTGCTGCCTCCCACAACAACTTCAAAAACACAACTAAAAGACAAAACAGGCATCATCCAGACCTACAGGAAGGCTGGCTGAGTGGAAATTCTACAACTAGAAGGAAAGAGACAAGCACACTGAGACTCAGAGGAGCTGCGGAAGTGCAGAGGTATGGAGGCTGGAGAGCGCGTGCAGCAAGGGGCTCGCACCTGAGGACGTGGTTGTCTTTTTGAATCAGGAGGAAATCACAAACTCCAGACTGCTCTGAACTCCAGTTCTGGGAAGTCTCTGGGGACCCAGGACTCATACAGGGAGAAACTGGACTGTCTGGCAGCGGGCAGAACTTGGAACTTGTGGGCAGCTTTCTCTCAGAGGTGCTTGCAGCAATTACTGGAACACTGAGAAGCGGGTCCCCTTAGGGCAGGGCTGAGGATCAGCCGTAACTGTTTGCTCCACCCTGTTGATCCCCTGAAACCCCGCCCAACCCAGGCTGTGGCAGAGGCTTTTGCACATGAATGTCCTGGCCCTTTGCAATCTCAGAAGTACCTAACAAACTGAAGCTGGGCCAGACAGACCCAGAACTTCCAAGAGAAGGCCCAAGGCTCCACAGCAGCTTGCATTGCTTCACAGCTGGACCTCATCTGGGCACCTCCAAACCCCAAACAAGGAAGGGGAATCTGCAGATCACTTTGACGCTCCTGCTGAGTAGCCTCAGGCAGACGCTAAATTAGCACCTCCTTAAATCCAAGAGCCAGTGTACCCAGTTGTCAGAGGGGGACCATCCGAATTACAACTCCTCAGATCCATAAGGGACCGA